TATTTATTTCTTCAATATTATTTTTCATGTCAGTGTTAATGTCATGAGGCTGTTCAGTGACTCCATGACACTTTCAATTTGACTCATTAGGATTTGATTAAGAACCAGATTTGTTCTTTGTAATTTCTGTCCAGTAAATGTATAGATTAATAAATCTATAAATCAATAGACAGGTCTATATAAAGATATAATCAGTGTTTCTGTCTCAAATTTCTATGGCATTAAAAGGATCTGGAACTTTTGTTTTTCCACTGAAAGCTCTGGTTTGCACAATAAATGCCTTGTGGATGAAGTTTTATGGATGATACTCTGATGTCCCATTCTCCTGAAGGCAGCACAGAGCTGCACCACCAGAAACCGACAGAAACACTGAAGAGAAGAAGAGCTATGATTAATGTAGTTACAGTTCTATCCATGTTTTAATGTTGCAGAGCTCAGCCGTTTTGCAAATAGATCAAAGTTTAAACTGGCATGTTGTTCATCTTTTATCTGGTCATTTGGTGTAATATTTAACAACTAGAAAATGGCACAGAACAAGAATATTTTTTCCACTCTGATTGGCTGCTGTTAGGCCTACCGATTTTAACTTGAATGTTCATTGCATTTTTCGTAGACACCTGTGAAAATAATTTCTATTCCCATGGCTTTCTTGTTCTCTGGGAAATTATTTTGATGGTAAATACAGAAACAAGCATAAAAATCAAAACATCTACAATAGTGATAGTAATATTAATAATAAAATAATAGTCAGTGCAAAGTAGCCTGCAAATTCTTTGGTGGGGGGCGGTGAGGGACCTGGATAAAGACTAGGGGGGCGCTGGCCCAAAAAAGGTTGAGAAACACTGACATAACACAAAAGAGGATGCGATAAGTAACCGTCAGAACAGAATTTTTATTTAAAGGCACCACTATGCCTCAAACCACATATATTTCCAGTATATTCAAACATTCAAAACAAATAACACAAAACCATTCCTCAGAGAACTGGTAAAAAATAGGCCTTCAAAGTTAGTTATATAGTTTCACTAACACTGGAATAAAAATTGAAGACTGTCAGTTTACAGCGACATAAACTGGGTTTGACTCATTAATTTCTACAATCTTAAGAACATAAAAACACAGTTCTTAAAGAAATATCCATGCTTTGGTTATCACTAAATAAATCAAAGAAAAATTACTTCCAAAACCTAAAATTCAACATGGCTGAAATAATGTGGAATTCTAGTATTAACACATTTTTAAAATGTGAATTATTAATGATTTTCAAGAGTCCAAGTGGCACTTACTTTATTAGATGCAGATGAAAGCACCGTCCAACATGGAAAAAAAAGACAATATAATTTAGATCCTAAATAATATGGAAACAGAAAGATTTCAAATAAAAGAAAACAACAACTAACCTGAATGAGATGCCACTCAAAGTCCATCAGGTGTTTGATGAGGGGGGAAACCTGAACATTGACCGTCACTTTTTCTTTTGAATGGTCTTTCCTGTCTTTTTGGATACCATTTTCCCATGACCGACTTTTGTGCCCCTTTCTGGGTTAATCCCAATGAAGCGACTAAAAAACAAAATCAAAAATGGGAAAATTCCTGAGAATACAAATAGTGTGGCATTTTGAATACAGCTGGTACAATATATAAATAAAGCTGTTTTTAATTACATAAAGAGAAAACATCACCACCTTTGTCAAATGTTAATCATAACTTGCTTTAGAACTTTAAAACCATGTCATTGTAAAAATAAATTATAGGAATGGTTTTAC